TTTGTAGTTTTCTACAACAGGCAGTTGCTGTCCGTTTGAAACTTAGATTCATTATGAATACTCTGCCTAAACAACATATCAAAGATTTTAAGCCTTTCTAAGATGGTCTCAAAAGTGGCTCTTTACTTCATTTTTTAATTATCAAGAAAAGGCGGTGGGGTTTTAAAATCACTCGTGTTTGCGATGATAACGTCGATAAATTGTTTGAAATTTTGAAACGAGTCAAAAACATTCTTGGAAACCTTTATTTGTTATGAAACATTACACAAGAAACATCACAAAAGGTCATCTGTTTCGAATTTTTGAACTATTCTGATATATTACGTAACATTACATAATAAGAAATAATAGTTTTTTAAACTCACACACAAAAAAAAACTGTTGCGTAAATTTATAATTGGCAACCTAAGAGTTTGATTTTTTTGATATGCTGGAATTAATAGATGGCGCAAGCTACATACGGAATATATAAGGAAGTAAGTACCTGATGATGACAAAACCTTGTCGAAACATTGTACATTTGCTGTTATGTCAAACGTACATTAAAGTTTTTCTTCGTTACCCATTCAAGCCGTCTCCAAGCATTATATAAGTAAGTATTTATCATTGATAGTATAAACTTTGTCATCCAAACGTTTTGGAAAATCTTTTCATAGAAAGTTAGTTGTTTTATTTGTGAAAAAAAAAAAGATATAAAAGTCCTAAGGCAAACAAACTATCACAAGAGGCAATTAACACGTCTGCCTCAGTTATAACATAAATATAATACGTTCTAGTAATAGTTCCAACATTTAAAGTTTATCAATAACGTATTTTTACTAGAGAACGTACATTTTTAAACCAACGGCCCGTAACCTTTTACTAAAACGAAGGTTGAAATAATAACTATGAAAACAGTTGTAATACACTGCGAGATATACAACTGTGAAATTATCATAATTTTACATATATATAGAGGGCGCTGTGTTCTTTTTGTGTTCCTAGTTTATTTTAACTTTCAACGCATGACGCACCTTGACAACCAGAACATAATTATAGAGGGCGCTGTGTTCTTTTTGTGCTCCTAGTTTGTAGTTTATTTTAACTTTCAACGCATGACGCACTTTGACAACCAGAACATAATTATAGAGGGCGCTGTGTTCTTTTTTTGTGTTCCCAGAGTTTGTAGTTTATTTTAACATTCAACGCATGACTCACCTTGAGAACCAGAACCATTTTCCTCTCCACTAAATGACGTCAACTCTTCTTCCTCGTAGTCGGGTAACTATGAAGAAGTAAACATTGTTACAATTCTCTAGTTTAGAAAGGTATACAATTTTTAAATCTCAGCAAACCGTGATGACCCTACAGCACAACATCATCATCGTCTCCTGTTATGTTAGAGAAATAACTTAAACATGCAGCCCATTAACTGAATCCTGAATTATTATTTTATTAAATATTGGTATGCATTTGGTATTTTCATTTAGAAATTACATAACACACTGATTAAATTACCAGGTCAGAGAAGGTTCAGGTATTTAACACTGTTGACCAGAGAGAGAGAACAACCAATCAGTATTACCCGCCACCTACACGACCATTCTTGGCCAAATATCGGGATTGACTATTATTTTTATGACGAGCCATAGCGGCATATTACGGATCCGAATCTTGGATCTTTTGATGCGTAGCCTTTAGCCATTAGGCCACGAATGGCACATTTTAATATTAAAATAATTAAAATATTCGTGTAGTATTTCCATTGTATGATCTTTAAATATGACTCAGTTATTTTTCTTAATCTTAAATTACTCATGGCAGCTGTTATGCATGAAAATTATTGATATATATATAGCGCCTGAACCACAACTTTGGCGTGTTCCAGCCGTCCTAATGAACCTTGGTAATGTGCGAAAGGCCTCGTCGGCACTGGATATGGCAGATGTGGTTGACATGTTTTATCAAATTTTCCTTTGCTTTCACTCATGGGTTCTTAGAATTGAAATATTTTAATATTTAACAATCTCTATTTCCATAGAAGTAATTTCGATTCTGCTCCAAAGATTAAATTCAATCAGAATTTCATCTTTGCTTTATTCATACCATACGTATTTCAGTAGGAATTCTACACGAATGAGGCCTTACACATATAGCAATCGGTACTACCAAGCGTAACAATTATTTTTGTTTCGAATATTTAAATTTCACCATGCTTGTTACTCTCGCCTCCGGAGGGGGGCGGGGGAGAGGGTATTGCAATCGGGTCCGTGTATGTTTCTCTTTGTGTTTCCGCGCGCGTATCACGAAAATTAATAAACCGACGTACACGAACATTTTACACAACATGGGAAGTCAGTATGGGACGGTCCTCCCCACATTTAGTCTGGATCCAAATCCGCATTTTTTTTATAATGGGGATATGGGGTATTTTTGCAGTTTTAGAGTTAACTCTGTAAAGCGTGATCGAATTTGTACCAAATTTCAAGAGCACATTAAGGTTGCGACTCCTCATCATACCACAAAAAAAAATTTAAAAAAATGACCCGGAACGTTCATCATTCTGGATTTTCTGAGTGGCGGGAAGAAGGTGTGTAATCTCTCTGCTTGCTCTTGTTTGTTGATTAAGAACTTAAAGCAGTAATTTAATGTTTACTCAAGCTCATTCCAATAGGCACGTTAAAATTAAAGCAGAAACGCATTTTTCGTTTCTTTCCACTACATTTCCACAGACTTAAGCTATAATTACTACATTTCTAGGAGTACACTGCAATGCACCTTCGTATGTATTATAATACTTATAGCTAACATTGATAATTCCTGTGTTTGTTTTGTTATCTTAGCTAGCGAAAGAAAAATATTTGCTTTTCTCCACAAATTTCAACACTTTTTACGCCTTAAGCTGCTATCTGTTTCAGACTAACAGCAGGAGAGAAAATAAATTTTATTTAAGAGTTATCGCTTGGGCTCCATCTGGTGCCAGTTAATGGAAAACACTGAAATCTAAGCCCTCTCACAAACTTAATAAATTCAAGGTGAGTGTAAAGAAGGTAGTGGATAGTTCTATCAACATGATGATTATCGATGATGTAGGATGGTCAAACACGACATGCACTCCTCAACCAACGCCTTAAGATGATGGGGTGAAGTTCGAACGAGGAAACTCTTCGAAAAGAGGATTATTTATAAACTAAACTACTTTAACTAAGCCTCAACTTGAACCACTATGTTTCACCATTAAAGCTGAAAATGTCAAATTACGATAATCATAATTGAATTATATCACACTAAACAGGCACAGCTGATGAATTTAACTCCGTTTCGAAAGTCACTAAAGATTCTTGACCGCCCTTAGCATTAGCAACTATGGTTGATAACAGCAACATATACGGATTTTAACATTAAACCTATGCTTCTAGAAATTAGGAAACAGAGCTATGACCATCAGAAACTATGCTTCTAGAAATTAGGAAACAGAGCTATGAACATTAGAAACTATGGTTCTGGACATTAAAAGCTAAGGTTCTGAGCATTAAAACTATGGTTCTGGAAATTAGGAAATAGGGCTCTGAACATTAGAAACTATGCTTCTGGAAATTAGGAAACAGAGCTCTGAACATTAGAAACTATGGTTCTAGACATTAAAAACTAAGGATCATAGCGTTAGAAACTATGACTCTAGACATTAGGAGCTAAGACTGTTAACGTTAAAACTATGGTTCTTAACATTTGAAACTACGGCTCTGAACATTATATCCTAGGGTTCTTAATATCACAAGCTATGCATTTGATTTGTAGTTTTTACTCAATCTCTCTCCTGGCAAATTTGCAAGTAACATCACTCTTAGAAATATATACAAAATATTTCGAATTCTTAAACATTAATTTAATGTTTTATTTTTCATTTTTTACTATTTTTTTTCTGGAATGTAAGGAAGTGATGTTTTCAATAAAACACGAGAGAAACCAAACAAATAATGGTAGTAAACATCGCATTTTAAATTATATAAAATCATAGTTAAAGCCTTTTTGACATTTCGAATTACATAAACTAACAGAAAAATTAAATAAAGTACAACGTGGCATATATTGTTATAAACTGAATATGTGCTCAAGTTACAATCACAGAAGGTTTTAACAGAAATAGAGACGAATGAAAATAACATTCGACTGCTTAGTCTGCACTAGAACCAACGTTTAGTACATACAGTCTTGTCAGAACCAACATTCACTACTTATAGTCTTGTCAGAACCGACGTTCACTACTTACAGTCTTGTAAGAACCGACGTTCACTACTTACAGTCTTGTAAGAACCAACATTCACTACTTACAGTTCTTGTACAA